TGCCAGGCTGCTGGGCACAGGATTGGGGGGACGCGGCTCCCCCCCCACCCTCTGGCCCATAAACCCAGTGGGCAGCATCCTGGCACCAAGTCGCCCGCTGGCACTGACTGCAGCGCCCAGGACCATGGGCCAGCTGCAGCTCTGGCTTGCCGTCCTGGCCGGGCTCTCGGAGATCGTGGCCCAGGAAGGTAGGGGCAACGCTGGGGGACAGGAGCCGGAGGGGACGTGGCAGCAGCTCTCGGAGCCCTCTGCTTCATGCCAGAGCCCGGACAGCGGGACTGGAGGCTGCTGGAGCAAGTCTGGGGTCAGCAGAGGGGACATCAGGGATGAAGGGTCAGCTGGGGGGAGGGGGGGGGAGGAAGGCTCAGAGGCAGTCAGAGGGGGCTGAATGACACCCCAACCTCCTGCCACGTCCCCCCTCTCATCCCCCAGACCTGTACCGAAAGGTGTTCGTCTTCCGCAAGGACCCCAGCGATGCCTACGTGTTGCTGAGGGCCAAGCTTGAGCAGCCGCTGCAGAACTTCACCGTGTGCTTGCGGTCCTACACCGACCTGACCCGGCCCTACAGCCTCTTCTCCTACGCCACCAAGGCGCAGGACAACGAGATCCTCCTCTTCAAGCCCAAGCCCGGCGAGTACCGGTTCTATGTGGGGGGCAGGTTCGTCACCTTCCGCGTCCCCGAGGGCCGCGGGGACTGGGAACACGTCTGCGCCAGCTGGGAGTCGGCCACCGGCATCGCCGAGTTTTGGCTCAACGGGAAGCCCTGGCCCCGCAAGGGGCTGCAGAGGGGCTACACGGTGGGGGTGCAGGCGGCCATCCTGCTGGGGCAGGAGCAGGACGCCTTTGGGGGTGGCTTCGACGTCTACAACTCTTTCTCGGGAGAGCTGGCCGACATCTACCTGTGGGATGCAGGGCTGTCCCCAGACAAGATGCGAGCCGCCTACCAGTCCCTGCGCCTGCCGCCCGCTGTCCTGGCCTGGAAGAGCCTAAGCTACGAAGTGAAAGGCGACGTGGTGGTGAAACCCCGGCTCCGGGAGGTGCTGGGGCCATGAGAGCCGGCCGGATCCGGGGCTGGGGCAGCCTCAGCCCCCGCTCTCCCCTCCCCGCCCCATCACCCCTTGGCTTCTACAACCCCCCAAGAAGAAGGTGCCATCTGTGTGCCCCAGCCAGGGAGCCGCGCTCAGGACAGGGCTGGGACGGAACTGGGAAGGGCTGGGGGCACCACTCAGCCTGGCAGGGTGCTCCTGAGCGCCGTCCCCGGGCTCCCTGCCAGCCTACCGGGTCTGCAGGCTCCCAGGCAGGCAAACTGGCTCCGGGCCTCCCACAGATTGTCAAACAGCCCCGCGGGTCAGTGCCCCCGGCACCTGGGGATGAAGGTCACTGTTGTGTAGCCACACAGACCCTGAGCAGCCCCCGGGCTGTGGTGCGGTGACTCTGGGGATCACCCTCACCACGGAGGTGCCAGTGGCCAGGCCGGGCAGCACCATGGGGCAGCTGCGGCTCTGCCTCCTCGCCTTCGCGGCATTTTTTGACCTTGCTGCCCCACAAGGTAGGGCCGGAGGGGCTGTGCCAGCACCCCCTCTGGGTCCCGTGGGGAACGCGGGAGGTGCAGCGGGTGCAGGGGTCATGCGGCAGTGGTGGCGGTGGGGGAGCAGTGGGGCACCCTGACTACCGCAGAGGGGTGCAGGGGGAGGCGTGGGGGTCACACAGTAGCCGTGCGGTGAGGGGGCACCCAGAGCTCTGCAGAGGGGTGCGGTGGGCACAGCGGGCCGGGGGTGCAGCAGGGGTGGAGGGAGGAGGTGTGATGGCAGCATAGCAAGAGCCTGAGGGGGCTTCCTGAGCACCACAGCGGGGGCAGCAGGGACACAACACCCGGCACCACAACAGTGCCGCAGGTCTGTGGTGGGGGCGGCGGCAGAGACACGGGGCTCCCATGGGTGGGACAGGGACACCCCCAGCCTGGCCCTTCCCTCTGGCTGCTGCAGAAAAACTGACCGCCCAGATCCAGGCTCACCCACCGGCACCCACCCTGTACCACCAGCTGATGCTCTCCTGCGAGGTCACGGGGGACCCTGGGTAAGGCACTCCCCACCCTCTGGCATGGCACCAGCGTGGGGCAGGCAGCTCCGGCATCCCTGGACCCGCGGGCAGTGGGAGAAGTGTCTGGGGAGGGAGCACAGTGGTCCATGGCATGGGCACCCTGGGGTGTCCACCTGCCTGAGTGACACCCGGCCCGGCTCAGCCCCCAGGAGTTCCTGTGGGAGAAGGAAGGCAACCATGACCCTCTGCAGAAAGGCCCCAACAGCATCCTCCTCTTCCCCTCCTTCAACACAACCCACTTGGGCACCTACGTCTGCACGGCCACGGGCTCGCTGGGCACTGCTGTGGCCACCTACAACCTGTGGATACAGGGTAGGGAGGGGACAGCGGGGGACAAGGGCTCTTCCCCTCCTTCCCCCTTGTCCTCACCACCCGGTGCACTTGCCCCCCCGTACCACAGCCCCCACATGGCTGGTCTCAGTGGTAAAAGTCACCTCTGGGTCCGACCTGGAGGCCACCTCCAGGTGGTTTGTGGCTTCCTTGCTGGCACACTGCAGCCCTTTCCCCCTGGGGGACTTGTGGGATGTCTTCGTCGTGGCAGGAGAAGCCACCTCTGTCTCGCCTCCCCCAGACCTGGAGTACCACGTGTTTGTGTATCCCCATGAGACCAAAAACTCCCACGTGCTGGTGAGGGCGAAGCCAGAGCAGCCGCTGCAGAACTTCACCGTGTGCCTGCAGTCCTACACCGACCTGACTCGGCCCTACAGCCTCTTCTCCTACGCCACCAAGGCGCAGGACAACGAGATCCTCCTCTTCAAGCCCAAGCCTGGCGAGTACCGGTTCTACGTGGGGGGCAAGTTCGTCACCTTCCGCGTCCCCCAGAGCATCGTGGCGAGCGAGCACATCTGCGCCAGCTGGGAGTCAGCCACCGGCATCGTGGGCTTCTGGTTCAACGGGAAGCCCTGGCCCCGCAAGGGGCTGCAGAGGGGCTACACAGTGGGGGCGGAGGCGGCCATCGTGCTGGGGCAGGAGCAGGACGCCTTCGGGGGCGGCTTCGACATCCAGCAGTCCTTCACGGGGGATCTCTCGGCTGTGTACATGTGGGGCATGGGGATCTCCACCTCGGAGGTGATGGAGGCCATGTACAACAGGCCCAGCAAAGCCCCCATCTTCGGCTGGAGGAACTTCCCCTACAAGATCGTGGGCGAGGTGTACCTGAAGCCCTGAGAGCCGCTGCCGGGCCAGTGCGGTCCCCCGGTGGCCGGCAAGAGCTGGGTGAGCCCCGATTGCCACGGGGGCTGTGTCATCCCCCTTCCCTGCTCTGTAACCCCCCCCAAGCCACCCAGCGTCACATAAATGAAGAAATGGGTTTGAAAAGCCGCAATGGTCTTTGCTGTCCAGATGAATCCCCCCAAAGCTGAGCGTGGCTCAGGGAATTAATTTGGGCTCAGAAAACTTGTCAGGGAGCGGGTCCGCGGGAGAGGAGGGAGGGGACGGGGCTGCCGCCAGCCCGGGGCCGGG